CATAAAATAATGGCAGGGTCATTGTCATTATAAAGCTTAAATGAGATAATACATGCATAACAATTAGCAATTAGTAAGTAACTGGAAAATAAGTAAATGCAAGACATACAAGAGGAAAAATGGTAATGGGTTCAGATAATTGTGGAATGAATTGGACTGAATAGAACAATGGCAGTTTGAGTAATCATTCTAGAAATGGACGGCACAGAACTATTCAAACTTTGCTATCAAAACCCATAGCATCTATTTATAAAATGACTGGCTAACATTAGAGGTGCAATGTGTAGCCCTGGAGCAATTCATCTCTGTGCAAACTGAACTGGCCTGAACCAGAATCAAACCAATGACCTTGGCCTCTTTGGCCCCACACTTTCCCTCACAGAACTAACTGGCCCCAGCTGCAGCCTTATGTAATGGGTATCTATGAGGACAGAGAAAAATAGTTCCCTGCGGGGTGCACTGGCTCACCACTGGAGGTTGTTAGGTTATCTAGCTAACCAGCTATTAACATTGAAAATGAATAGAAAGTACATAAATAAATGCTTAGAGTAGTGCATAAGGCTTTCTGTTTAGATTCGTAGGTTCTAGGTCAGAAGTTTTCATCTTGGTGGCAAGGTTTCTATACCAACACTAGAAGATTCTAAGGTAGTCAACTCTGGGTTCTAGAACCAACTCTGCCACTAACTATTATAGCTTCAAAACCTTGAGCAAATTGTTGAGTTTTATTTTACCCTGCTACAACAAGGGGGCTGAAACAGCACATGTCAAAGGTCCTTTTTTGACATTCCTTTCCCCACAGATACAGTGTCACATTCTCAGACATCAGGGCTGTTTATTTTTGCACTGAACAAAATTAAAGTATACAATTAGGCAACAGCAATACTGTACTTTCAAAATGTGTCAATGAAGTGATGGCAAAAGTAAACATAAGAAGCTAGACACAGCCAGGCGCGGTGGCTCATGCCTGTAATCCCAGCACTTTGGGAGGCCGAGGCGGGCGGATCACTTGAGGTCAGGAGTTCGATACCAGCCTGGCCAACATAGTGAGACTCCGTCTCTACTAAAAATACAAAAATTAGTCGGGTGTGGTGGTGCGGGGCTGTAATCCCAGCTACTGGGGAGGCTGAGGCAGGAGAATCGCTTGAACCTGGGAGGTGGAGGTTGCAGTGAGCCAAAATCATGCCACTGCACTCTAGCCTGGGCAACAAAGCGAGACTCAGTCTCAAAAAAAAAAAAAAAAAAAAAAACAAGAAGAAGCTAGACACAGAAGGCCACATATGATATGATTCCACTTATATGAAATATCAAAAATAGGCAAATCCATAGACTGGATGGAGAGCAAGTTAGTGGTGACCAGGGGCTGGGAGAAGAGAAGAATGAGAGGTGACTGCTTAATAGGTATGGGGTCACCTTTAGAAGCGATGAAAATCGGTTGGAACTAGACAGTGGTGAGAGTTGTACAACATTGTGAATTTACCGAATGCCATGACATATACACTTTAAAATGGTAAAATTTATGTCACGTGTATTTTATCACAATAAAAAGTGCCCCCCCAAAAGAGAGAGAGGGATGGCAAAACATAGCAGGGCACAGGCTCACTTGACCCCTGCTTCAATGTAACATGAGAGGAGGGTGGGGGTGGGGGTCCTCTGAGGAAGCTCTGGGAGATCCAGGAATAAGAAAGAGAGTAGACATTGGTGCAGGATTTGTCATCTAACTGGGGCCGGGTCCTGGCCAGGGACAAGTGTAGCAGTAAATGGGGCTCCAGTGAAGTATGAGCATCTCCCCGAGTGCACTGATGATGACCCTCCCTCAGTCCAACATGTTCCTGGCCTCCTCCCACTGGTGTCAAACCATATCCATCTAAGTCCCATTTCAAAGCCCACTCCCTTCTTGAGCTCCCCCACTGTACCCCACACAGAGACATGTTTCTCTCTCTCTTTTTTTTTTGAGACAGGTTCTCACTCTGTCACTCAGGCTGGAGTGCAGTGGTATGATAATGGCTCACTGCAGCCTCAAATTCCTGGGCTCAAGTGACCCTCCCATCTCAACCTCTTGAGTAGCTGGGACCACAGGTGCATACCTGGCTAAATTAATTTTTAAAATTTTTTGTAGAGATGAAGTTTCCCTAGTTGTCCAGGCTGGTCTTGAACTCCTGCGCTCAAGGGATCCTCCTGCCTTGGTGTCCCAAAGTGCTGGGATTACAGGTCGTGAGCCACTGCCCCTGGCTATATCTTGTCCTTCTAAAAGTTGACAGCACTTACTCTCTGTGCCATTCCCAGGGCACAAGTCTGCTTCAGCTTTCTAGAGACACCTGTATTCTCTTACCACCCAAGGCCTTCTGTTTCTCTTTGCCTCCCAGCATCCAATACAGTAGTGCTCAGGAAATACTTGTGGCTCTGTGACGGAGTGACTCAGGCAGCCCCACGGGGAGTAGAGTTTTATGAGTTTAATATGAACCATACCATGAAATCTGAGAAATTTACCTCATTGCTCATACTAGAAACCCTCAATTCCAGTCGGATTTGCTTGGAGCTGGATGGAATTGTGTTGCTTTTCACACTGAAAATGATCATCTAATTTTTAAATTTAAAAAACATTTACATAGCACCTACTTCATGTTCGACAGGAATCTCAACACTTCACAAACGTTAACTCACTGACTTTTCCTAACAGAGGCATTGAGAAATTAAACAACTTGCCCAGGGGTCAAAGCCAGTAAACGGGCAGAGCTGGCTTCAAATCCAGGTTCCGTGCTTCCAGAGGAGATGCTTTTCAGTTTGTTCTGGTGCCTGAAACTTACAGATGAGTGGCAAAAACCTCCATGAACGGGGAGGGGGGGGGGGGGGGGGGAGGAGACATTGATGTATTTATTTCAAGGGAAATGTTTTTTCCCCCATCGTCCCCCTTTTCTTCCTCATTCAAAGCAAAATGCTCTAAAGCAAACAGTCTTTTTTTTCACACCTGAGAGACTAGCGCGGCTCATTTTTGCTTTGGCAATCAAAATAGAAGAGGAAACTTGTGTGGTTTCATCACTGGTGCTTTCGGGGCGTGTGGGGCGGGCTGTCCTTCTCCCTCTGTCCTGGCTCATCGGCCAGAGCCCCCCTCCCCAGGCGTTGTGGCCTCCGGTCGTGGAGACATAAGAGGCCACCTTTCTCCTGTAACACCGGGAATGTGCCCCAGCCTCTTCCTCCTTCCTGCAAATCCAGTCCTTGTCCTGGAGAACCTCAGCCTCTTCTTATGCCTGCCTCTCTCAAAGCCTCGTAGGATTTACACCTGATTAACAACGTTTGCATCAGGATCGCCAGCCCCTGCAGGCCCGCGCGAATCCACTACATTTTCATGTTTCGGATGTTGTCCACTTGACTTGATGCATATTCAAATGTCTCTCTCCCCACGTGGGAGGCCGGAGTCAGAACCTGACAGACCTGCCGTTTACTAACTGGGGACCCAGGGCAAATTACTTCACACGTCTGAGTCTCGGTTTCCTCACCGTGAACGGGACTGGTACCCATAGGTTGCGGCGTGGATCAAATGAGATAGCGCAGGGGCGGGACCGGCGCACAGCAGCTTAGTTCCTCTTGGCGAGGTCTACGTAGTAACACATGCTTGCCTGTTTCCCATTTTTTCCCAGAGCACCTTAATGCTCTGGGGGCAGGAAGGGAGTCTTCGCGCCACACCGAAAAAGTCCCAGCGGGCACGGTGTAGGCGCCTGTGGTCCCAGCAACTGGGGAGGCTGGGGCAGAAGGATCGCTGGAGCCCAGGAGGTCGAGGCTGCAGTGAGCTATGACTGCGCCAGCGCACTCCAGCCTGGGCGACAGAGCCAGACCCTGTCTTAATTAAAAAAATAAAATAAAAAAAAAGAAATTAAAGTCTCTATAACCCTGGTTAGAGCGTTCCCGCCCACTGGTCTCTTAGGGCACATTTAGGACAACCTGAAGATGCCACTCTTCTTGGGACCCTAACTCTGACCCCAACTCCTCCGTCCCCAAAGTCTAAGGGCTCAGGATCCGAAGGATACCCGGCTGAGGTCGCTGGGTGGGGCTCTGGGAGGAGGAAATGGGGTTCTTGAGGGAGCTCGCGCTCCAGCTCGCCTCCTCCTGCGAGGACGCCCCCTGCCCGAACACCTGCTGCCCGAGCGAGCGTCG